TGTAGAAATATAAATATATTTACTTAAATAAATAAAAATTTATTTGGTTACTTTTTTTTCTGAACCACATGAAAGTGGCAGGTATCATATGTCACCCCTGAATACTTCAGACTCATCTCCTCAGAATAGGAACATTTCAATTTATAAGCCACATTGTGATACCTAAGAAAACTAATAGCAATTCCTTAATATCAACTGGCATTGAGTCCATATTCCAGTTCCCTAGTTGTCCAAAGAATGTCTTGTATAGCTATTTTTTCCCTTGAGCAAGAATCCAATTATGGTTTATGGGTTGCATTTGCTTGCATCTTTGGTCTCTTAATCTACAATAAGCCTGCTACCCCAAACATTTTCCCCCATGACACTGATGTTTTGAAGAGTTAAAGCCAAGCATTTTGCAAAATCTCCCATATACTGAATTTGTCTGATTGTTTCCTTGTGGTGTAATTTAATTTGTTCCTTTATTCCTTCTAATTCCTGTGAACTGGGAGTTAGGTTTACAGATTTGATTAGATTCAGATTTAAAATATTTGTCAAGACTATTTCATAGGCAGTGTTGCCTACATCATGCAGTAGGAAGTACATAATTTCCGTTTTTCCACTATTGGAGATTCTAAATTAATTCACTTCATTTGGGTAGTGACCATCATATTTTGCCATTTAAATGTACATTTTCTTTTTTGATGTAAGTAATCTTTACACCTTATGAATGTCTTATTCATTAACCTTTCACCCAACGGTTTTGGTAATTATTAATGATCCTTGCCTGAATTAGTTATTACATTGGGTATTATAAAATGATGATTTTAAAATTTGAGCATTCCTTCTAAGTTATTAGGTAGTATCCTTCTTCTGTAAAGAAGAACTTCACTTTTTTTCCCTTCGATCCTTTTGTCCCCTTTTGAGTGTCACTATGAACTGGTGGATTTTTATTTATTCCGTTTTCTATTAATTAGAGTGATTATTTATTTCAGTGCTCAAGTTGTTCCAGATTTGGCTAATGAGAGTCCCCCTTCAGGTTAGCTCCTATCCCTGTGACAAGCCCCTATCTGTCTTTGAACACTTTCTTGCATTATAGCACAAGATGTTTCAAGTTCACTTTGTATTTTCCCTACCCCAGAATGGGATTCAGCCATTTTTCCCAATTAGTCTTGATTCTAAGGAAGGAGAATCTTTTTTTTAATTTAATGATTCACCTTCTCTCTTCTCACAGAGGCCTCCTTTCATTTGGTTCTGTCTTAGATTAGGATTACTAAGTACCAGATCCAAGCATCCCAGCTATCAGAGACAAGGGTGAGGTGGAATGGTAGCGGAGGACTCTGCTAGGCCAGAGGAGTTCTTCCAGCTTAAGACAATCCGTTTCTACTTTGGCAGCCTACTAGCAGTATATCTTAGCAGTGATTCTTCCTCCCTTCACCTCTGATTTTTCTCTTACACAGAGTTTTTGTTCTTTCACTCATTTCCTTATTCATTCTGCTTTGATCTTTCATTTTAGTTTTGTATATAATGCATTTTAGAGTTAAGACTTTAAGCATGATAGATGACCATTTCCTGTAGCCATTTTGGCTAATTAATTCAATGTGTAGGTTTTGATGTGATTTTGCTTAATACTAATTTATATTTATTTATATTATCCTATGAGGACTTCTTTGTTTGAAGAGATTGTGATGACTGCTATTACTCTCAGTTTGTAAATGGTGGTTGGGCAGACTCCAGTGTGTTAAATTCATGTGATGGTTTGGTGTACACCTTCCCTTAGGTTTGGTTTTCTACATCTATTGCATTCTTTTCTGTCAGTTGGCCAGGATTGAGTTAAATATGTCTTCTCTTTTATTGTACCCCCCAAATCAATGAAGAGGACATTTTACCCACATTTTCCTAATATAAATCCCTCTCTCCAGATGGAAGGTTGAAGTCTCATTGTGCTAGGGAGGAAGGAAAAAGGGAGCATTTTGAAATCTGGTGTATCAAGAAAGACATAAAAAACTGATAAAGGTAGGACTACCTGTTTTTATATTCTGCCACATAGCATGTGTTTAAATGAATTTGCCTATAATTTGTCTCGAATGCTGACATTTAACTCCTAGGCTGTATAATTGTGCTTGATTTTTCAGAGTAAAATTCATATTCTGTGACCAGGCTAATATGTTCACCTACTATAAAAATTACTGCCTATGGTAACAGCTAGCATAAAAAATTCTTTTTATATACATAATAGCTGGCGGAGACTCCTGGGACCACCACAAATCATTCCTGTCTTTTGGAGCTTGCTGACAAAAAGCGTGGAAATGTAAAACCAGCCTGGTCTAACATAGATTGACTTTGAAAACCTATTAACTTATTTAGACCACCATTCATACTATTGTTATTGTTGTTTTTTAAGATGCCGAGTATTGAACAAGCTCTTCTAATTAATGTATTCTCTAAGCTTGCTAGCCTTTCCTTTTCCCTGTGAACCAGTTCCTCTTCTATGGACCATCTCTGGCTCCTTTTTTTTTTGTTAAAGGTTAATAATGAGAATAATGAAGCAATTGGTTATTTATGTAGTCATGATTGGCAAAAGTTATTAGAGCAGGAATCTGCCCAGAAGCAATGATTAGGTTATGAAAATGTTAAGGAATGCTGAAACCAGTCACCATTTGTGACATTTAAGAAATACTATTCCCACCCTTAATCATGATGACCTGTTGTAAAAGTATTTATACAGAATAATCCCATTGGACAGTAATTCTTATACCAAGAGCATACATAAGTAAGTGTTAAGGGGGAGATTCGGAAATGATCTGAAGGAAAAAGGAGCCAGGGGAAGAAATTACCACAATGAGAAGTAAGGAACAGAACCCTCTGTTGGATAGAACTGTCTCCCAGGCACCTAAGCTATGAAGTTAGGTGACCTTTCCTGTTTAGTATTTTCATCGTGAGCACTTTGCAAGTTTTAGGAGCTGTGAGAGAGTATACCCCAGGTTAGGTTACCATGTTCTTTATACAAAACTATAAGAAATGTGTGGAGGTATATGGGCAGAAAATTCCCTGGTGATGGTTTTATTAATGAAATATTGATTTAACTGGTGTTATGCAAGACAAAGCAAAAATCAAATTATAATCCCTTTATGTTTAATATAGTTAGGAATTTTCTGTGTAAATAGGCAGTAATTATTAATATTTTTACCAGAACAAAAGTTATCACTTTTACCCAGCATTTAATTTTTTCTTAATAGCTTTATTGAGCTATAATTCACATACAATGAAATTCTCCCTTTGCAGTGAACAATTAAATGGTTTTGAGTATATTCCCAAAGGTGTGCAAACAACATCACTGATTTCAGAACATGTTCATTACCTTCCTCCCAAACCCATACCTGTTAGCAATTACTCCCCATTTCCTCTCCCCCAACCCGTAGTAACCACTAATCCACTTTCTTTCTGTATGGATTTGTCTATTCTGAACATTTTATATAAATTAAATCATACAATATATGGCCTTTTGTGTCTGGCTGCTTTTATTCAGCATAATGTTTTCAAGGTTCATCTATGTTGTAGTATGCAGCAGTATTTCATTCCAATTTATGATGAAATAATATCTCATTATATAGCTATTCCACATTTTGTTTATTCATTTATCAGTTGGTGGACACTTAGGTTGTTTTCACTTTTCTACTACTGTGAATAATGCTGTTCTGAATATGTATGTATAAGTTTTTGTGTGGACATATGTTTTTGGTTCTCTTGGGTATATACCTGGGAGTAGAATTGCTGGGTCATATGGTATGTCTGTCTAACTCTTTAAAACACTGGTAAATTATTTTCCAAAGTGGCAGCATACCACATTCCTATTGGCTGTGTAGGAGGGATCCATTTTCTCCACATCCTCATAAACACTTGCTATTGTAAGTATTTTTGATTATGGCCATCCTAGTGAATGTGAAGTAGTATCTCAATGTGTTTTTGATCTGCATTTCCCTAATGGCTAATTATGTTTAGCATCTTTTCTTGTGCTTTTTAGTCATTTGTAAATTTTGTTTTGGGAAATATCTTTTCAAAGCCTTTGCCCATTTTTTTTATTGGGTTAATAGTCTTTTTAATTGTTGTGTGAGTTCTTTATATATATCTGGACACTAGTCCTTTATCATATGATTTCCAAATATTTTCTCTCATTCTGGGGTTGTCTCTTTCAATTTCTTAACAGTGTCCTTTGAAGCACAAAGTGCTAAATTTTTTTTTCTTGGAAACAGAGTCTCACTCTGTCGCTGGAGCTAGAGCACAGTGGCATCATCTTAGCTGCTTGCAATCTCAAACTCCTGGGCTCAAGTGATTCTCCTGCCTCAGCCTCTCGAGTAGCTGGGACTACAGGCACATGCCACCCACCTGGCTAATTTTTCTATTTTTTGGAGAGACGGGGTCTCACTCTTGCTTAGACTAATCTTGAACTCCTGGCCTCAAGCAATCCTCCCACCTCCCGGCCTCTGGGCCTCCCAGAGTGCTAGGACTACAGGCATGAGCTGCTGTACCTGGCTAAGTTTTAAATTTTGAAGTCCAAGTTAGCTATTTTTTCTTTGGTTGTTTGTGCTTTTAAGTGATCATTGCCTAATCGAAGGTCACAAAGATGTACTTTTATGTTTTCTTCTAAAAGTTTTATAGTTTTAACTTTTACATATAGATCAGTGATCTATTTTCAGTTAGTTTTTTTAAATGGCATGAGGCAGGGGTTCCTTTGCATGTGTCTGCATTTGTTTTTATGTTTTCAGATTTAAAGTATTGAGAGATAAATTTGTCTTTAAGTGGAATGACCATAGCTACTATCTTTGTGAATTATTGTTTTGTGATTTTGGGGGGGATGCATGTACTCTTTTCAGCTAAAGACTTTATAGTCACCTACTCTCTCACCAAATATTGTTGCATTTCTGTCTCTGTTTTGTTTATTGGAATTACAAAAGCAGCACTGATGGATGCAGGTTGAATCAGTTTTTCACCTTTTTTTCCCTTAATTTGCAATCTCACCTCTTCAACTACAGTATAGAGAATGCCAAGAACTTCTAAGCCTCTATCAGAAATATCTATCAGAACAGCAGGAGAAGCTCACCATGTCACTCTCAGAACTTGGTGCTGCTAGAATGCAGGAACAGCAGGTAAGCATCTTTATTCTTACCTTTCTTGTCTTTAATGGATCAGCAAGATGTCAGAAGAGCCATTTGGCTTTTATATTAATTGCCTCACAGTATATAATATTGTTTTACAATATGCAGATACAGAATGTGATTGAGTTGATGTCTTTTACTGCCCTCTTTCCTTTCTTCTCCTGTTCCTGGGGCCCAGAGGTAGGAATGATCGCTTGAAGCAGGCTGTGGGTCAGTGGGGAAGCTCCTGGTTGTATGAAGCATGGTAGGAATGGTAAAGAAAACTCACTGTTCTCTTACTTAATGAAGAAGATCAGGTGGGCTGTTTGTTACTCATTGTCCTTATGGAAAACACTAATAAGCCTTTCCTAACTCAAGTTTATAATTTTTTAGAATAATAAAAGTGACTTGGTGACATGTAAAAACTTTTATTAGAGAAAATTAGAATATTTTGCATATGTTTCTATACATATATTAATCACATAAATATATATGAATATTTCTATGTAAACATTTATATACATTTTACCAAATGGTATATATTAGGTAATTAAATAAATGTTCAGAACCCTGCCAGTTGTGATGTGAAACAAGCTCTAAAAACACATTTATTTCCCTCTAGCAACTGATAATTGATGTTTTTTTCATACCCATGAGTTTAAATCTTCAAATGGATGAAGATAAGCTTTATATATTAAAACATCATAGAAAGAACTTTGTAGTAGGGTCAAAGTCATTCATATTAAGTATCAAAATATGGATAATATACTAAAGTGTTAGCTTCCCCTTTGAATAGTATCAGATCCTAAAGATCAGATTTCAGGGTTTTTTGCAAACATTTTAAAGATCACCCTTGCTCTTCAACCTAGGAACAACTATTTCAGATGGATTAGTGGTTTGGCTAAGGGAACTACAGTTTTGGACCTAAAGTTTACGCATATGGAAGAGTAAAATAAATATTTTGCTGGAATGTGGTATAGCTGAGACTTTTAACGTATTTTTGTTTGAAGTCAGAAATTTTCAAGAAATAGCCAAAGTATAAATGGTTTGTTGGTATTCTAATTTGAAATACTTTCTTTTGTTCTGTTTTCTGAAAATGTAGCTTATAAAAAGGGGCAGAGAAAGGTAGCTGCTATTCTTGATTGTTTATATGACTTTTCCCTGCCACTTTGAAAACAAATCAAGCAGTTTTTAGGATGGCCCTTGCCTGTTGCTTTTGGGAGGGTTAGAGAAAATTATAGCATGAAGATCAAATTTCTGATCTTTGATTTTGCATTTCTGCTTCCTCCCTCTGCATGACATAGGGGTGTGAAGAGGGCACAAAACTGAAGGGCAACCCATTTGTCAAGGGTTTGAGAGGGGAGGCAAAGGAACCTTTCATTCACCATTATTAATAGTCTGAAAACCTCAAGGATATAGACTAAGAGTCAAGTAGTCACTAGGGGGCCCTAAAGACATCTATAATAGATAAGAAAGCCCAACCCTTTTCTATCTACTTCTGAAATTGAGGGAAAATAAAACTTTCCCAAGTGTTAGTGATTTATATTTAAGCTAATGATTTCTTGGAGTTTTCACTAGAGACGAACCATAGTTAACACTGCCTCCCTTAACCTTAGCCTTGAGGGGAAAAACTAAAAAAAAAAAAAAATCCCAAGTACTAGAATGTAAATGTTGCCCAAACACATGGGGAGAATACACCCTCAAAAAGAGACACTTTCATTATCATTTTTACTTAATCATGAGAAAATTTTAAACCACATTTTCAGGAAGTACCTAGCGGTCAAGTTTTAGATTATGCTTTATAAACAATGAAAATAAAACAAAGTTTAAGGCCATTTGTAGGCTCTGCCATTTGAACCTAGAGAGGGAAAATAACTTTCCTTTTGAATAGCAAGTGGAGAAAGTCACCTTATGTCTATGTTGTCTGGTTTGTTCTTTGTGACAGGCTTCTATAAGTTGAGCAAAGGTAAGCACCTTCTTTTCTTTCCTGTGGGAACTGGGTAAATTTGGATAACAAGCTTACTTCCTTATAAGAAGGGCATCATTGTGAAGACTTTGAATCTGAATGGGGACACTGACCTGATTCTCTCCCCTCCTCCCACTTACCTTGTGATGAAGTTAAATGTCCTCTTTATGTATTCACAAAAAGACTGTGCCCATCTCTGTAATAGCTCATTTCGTTTTGTTTTGTAATCATTGCTTATGCATTCATCTCCCTCACCACGCTTTTTTGGAAATGGTCATCCTGTTGCATTGGGGTTTGTACACTCAGAGCCTAACATAGGGCTTGGCTTAATAAAAATTTCTTTTTTGATTTATTTTTATTTAACAAATATTTATGTGGTACATACGTTGTGTGTCCCATAACATGTACTGTAGCACATGTTAAATCATTTAATCCCGACTCAGTCAGGTAAGATAGGTTATTATCTCCATTTTACAGGGGAAGAACCCCAGAGACAGAACGAGTGACTTGACAAGGTCATTCAGCAAGCGAGTTAACAAAACCACGATAGGAACCCAGACAGTCTGGCACCACAGTTTGTTGAAGAAAGAAAGACAAGAAAAACATGAGATAGCTAAAATTGTTGAAAATATGCTTTAGATGTTCTTGTTTCTATAATTAACTCTCCTTGGCTCTTAATCTGACATACAGGTTTTTGAACACCAGCGCAGAAACATGCTAGAGATAGGGGGAGACTATTTTCTTTCTTTGTAAGAAGCCACAGTGCCAGGTAAAACATAAAATTTTATTCTCAAAATAATTTTTTAAAAAATCTCACCTTCGGATTTTGTGATGGAGATGGCAACAGTTCATTTTCCAGGAGGCATTTATTTGACTTTGAGAGAATTGTTCTGTTTCTTCTTTGTGTTGGTTGCCATCTGGCTTAAACTGCATATTATGGGTTTTGCTTATAGTTATATTAAGTCTGCAGTTCTCCAGAAGAATGCCCTAGCTTATGATTTCCTTTTTTGACTTCTACCATTTCCTTGAAAAGAAATTGCTTTATTTACAAGGTGAATTTTTTCCTTGTTGTCTCCCAAGCCTCCTTCTTGCTTTGCCTCAAAGATGAATGCATTCTACATTCATTTTGTGATTCATTCAGCATTACAAGTTCTTCATTGTGGGTTCTAGAGAGATTCTTCACTTGTTCTATTTAGATTGAAGTATTTCTTTGATGTGTGTCTATTACCTCATTATGTTATTTTAAGAAATAGTACTTACCCGCCTAGGACATGGTGGCTCACGCCTGTAGTCCTGCTACGCTACTCGAGAGGCTGAGGCAGGAGGATCACTTGAGCCCAGGAGTTTTAGGTTGCTGTGAGCTAGGCTGACAGCCATGCACTCTAGCCTGGGTAAAGAGTGAGACTGTCTCCAAAAAAAGAAAAAGAAAAAAGAAATAGTACTTACCAATAGTATAATCTTAGTCTTGGACATGGGAGGAACTACTAACCATAGTTTTGGCCAATGTAAATTTTAGAATAAAGCTTTTTCTTGTCACAGTCAAGTGTTACTTGTTTTGTTGTGAATCTAAACAAATAGTGTCACTTCGAGCCACAATAGTTATAACTTCTATTTTTGTCTTATTTGATAGGCTATACCATTTTAGAAAAATTGTTGTGTTTTCTAAGTACTCTTTATATTAAGAGAAAGCCTGGGAAGCATTTTGAGTAATATCTCCCACTCTAACTTGAAAATATTGGTGGACATGCACACCTTACTCTTTTTCTTAATTCTGCATTATTTTGGCAGGTAGACATAAAGAGGTACCTTTAGAATTTTCTTGAGATTTCTCTCTTTTCTTTAAAATGGGTAATATCATCTCTTTTTAGCTATGGGCAAAGGATATTGAGGAATCTCTGCTCTTCTTATCTGGTAAAAGTCCTGTTAACAGAAACTTTTCCATTTTCCCCATGATTACTTTTTCCATGTTCCTTAGAAGATCTGGATGATGGACTAGTCAGGAATCTGAAATATACTAAAGATAAATCATTGTTGAGTACATATTTAACGTCTCTTGATGGTCCCTATCACTATTACTTCTATAGTTTTACTAAGAGAATTTTTTTATAGTGCTTAGGGCCACACAGTCTTAGGGCTACTTCCAATTCTATGACTATTTTCATGTTTTCTTTTGGTTAAAATTTTGTGTTTAACTACCAACATATAGTCATGTGGTAATAAAGCTCCTTACCATTTTAATTCTAATTTTATTTTATGCATTTTAATATGTATTGAATGTGTAATATCTATCCTAATTCTATCTAATTTGATACTAAACTGCCTTTGAGTTATAGTAGCACTTTATTATAATAAGCCCAGATTTTATTGGCAATCCAGAAACACCACCATACTTCTATAATAATTGAGAAAGAAACTAAATTAAAGAAGGTATCATATTTTTTGTACTACTAAGCTCCTCACAGAATAAAAGATCTGTAGATAAAACAAGAGCAGGATTAACAGCTGACTTCTCATCAGAAACAATGGTGGACAGCATATTGAAAGAGCTGAAGGAAAAAAAAACAAAAATGCTGGCAGTCAAGCAAAACTGTTCTTTAAAAATGAAGGTGATATAAAGACATTTTTAAATAAACTAAGACTGAGAGAACTAGATGTTAGTCTACCTGCCTTTATTTATTACTATAAATACTAATAGAAGACTGTTCAGATGAAAGGAAATGACATAAATCAGTATCTGAAATCCACACAAAGAAATAAAGAGCACCAATAAACGTAATTGTGTATTTTGCTCTTCTTAAATAATTTTAAAGGCACCTGAATAAAACAATAATTATAAAACTGTATTGTTGAGCTTATAAGACATAAAGATGCTTTATGGTGTGTGTGTGTGTGTGCACGTGCACATTTGCACAAAGGAGGGAGGAGAGAAGGGAGCTATATAGCAGCAAATTTTCTATATACTCCTGGAATTAAGTTAGTAGAAAGGCAGTAAAACTGTCTTTATTTGTAAATAACATGATCCTGTGTGTAGAAAACCCTAAGGAAA